ACTCCTGGGCTCAAGCGAGTCTCCTGCCTCAGCCTCCCAAGTAGCTGGGACCACAGGCGCCCACCACAACACCCAGCTATTTTTTTTTTAGTTGCAGCTGTCATTGTTGTTTGGCAGGCCCGGGTTGGACTCAAATCCGCCACCTTGGGATTTATCTATTATTTATTTATTTAGAGTCTCACTTTGTTGCCGTGGAACCACAGCTCACAGCAACCTCAAACTCTTGGGTTTAAGCGATTATCTTTGCCTCAGCCTCCCAAGAAGCTGGGACTGCAGGCACCTGCCACAGCACCCAGCTATTTTTTTGTTGTAGTTGTCATTGCTGTTTAGCAGGTCCAGGCTGGGTTCAAACTCGCCAGCTCTAGTGTATGTGGCTGGCACCCTAACCACTGAGCTATAGGCACTGAGCCAGCCTGGCCCATATTTAGTTTTTTTTCCCTTGGTTTCAAATGACCCTCTAGCCTCAGCCTCTTGAGTAGCTGGGACAACTGGCATGTGCCACCATGCCTGGCTAGTCTTTCTATTTTTAGTAGAGATGGGGTCTCACTCTTGCTCAGGCTGGTTTTGAACTCTTGAGCCCAAGTAATCCTCCTGTCTCAGCCTCCCAGAGTGGTGGGATCACAGGCATGAGCCACTGCATCCAGCCTCCATCCTTAGTTTTTTTTTTTTCTTTGAGACAGAGTGTGTGTCGCCCTCGGTAGAGTGCCATAATGGCACAGCTCGTAGCAACCTCCAACTCTTGGGCTTAAGTGATTCTCTTGCTTCAGTCTCCCAAGTAGCTGGGACTGCAGGTACCTGCCACAACACCTGGCTATTTTTTGGTTGCAGGTGACATTGTTTAGCAGGCCTGAACTGGGCTTGAACCCACCACCTTTGGTGTATGTGACTGACACCCTACTCGTTGAGCTACGGGTGCCGAGCTACCCATACTTAGGTTTTACCAATATCATCCTGGCTGCTGATTGAGCTGGACTGAGGGATAGATGAGTGAGAAGAGGAGATGGTGGCACTCTAATTGTCATGGGACAGTGGGATAAGGATTAGCTGAGTTTTGCACCAAGTGAAGATTTGGAAACAGAATGTAAAAGATCAAAACAGAGCAGGATGACTTACAACTTTTAGTCTCTGAGATGGGAAGCTGTGGGGAGGTTGGGAGGTTGGGAAGGTGGGTGGGGATTCTGTGTGTTCCATTTGAACATCTTGGATTTGATGGGTGGGAATGGCAACTCAGGCTCTGGGACAGGAGGGTCTTTGAGGTTTTCAGACCTACAGCAGTGCCAGGAGGTTTTGGACTGATCTGGGCCTCAGAATAAAGCTCATGGGGGAGGATGGGCAGTCCAGTGGCAGGTCTCCTGGCTGCTGGGTACCTCCCACCCACTTTTCAGGGCTTGTGTTTTGTCCCTGCCCCTAGGGTGTGGTTACCGCTGTCACAGCAAGTGCTTGAGCCTCATCTCCAAGCCCTGTGTGAGCTCCAGAGTCAGCCACCAAGCCGAGTATGAGCTGAACATCTGTCCGGAGACAGGGCTGGATAGCCAGGATTACCGCTGTGCAGATTGCCGGGCACCCATCTCTCTGCGTGAGTAGTGCTGGGAAGAAATGGGATAGGGAGCTATTCTGGGCAGATGAGCCAGGGGCTGCAAAAGTCAGAAAGCCACCAGAGGACCTGGAGGCAGTACCTGCTCCTCCCACTCTAGCAGTCCATGCAGGTCACTGAAGGACATCTGCAGGGCTTGACCTTGCCTCAGCCTCAAGTGTAGCCCTTTGTCACAGAAAGCCCACACTGATAAGGACTAGGACCAGGAAAAAAATCACAATCATCCTGCATAGGCCATGTATAGGCCTTCTGTATTGAGAGTTACTAATGTTAACTCAGGAGGTTCCTTCCTCAGGCTCATGGTAGGATTCCGTTTTTGTTGCGTTTTACTGACGACAAAACAGAGCAGGGGAATGCTGGACCATCTGAGGTCTCATGACTGAGAAGAGGATAAATCAGGCCTGGAGGATGGGACTCTTTTTTTTTTTTTGAGACAGTGTCTCAAGCTGTCGCCCTGGGTAGAGTGCTGTGGCATCACAGCTCACAGCAACCTCCAACTCTTGGGCTTAAGCGATTCTCTTACCTTAGTCTCCCAAGTAGCTGGGACTACAGGCACCCGACACAACACCCAGCTATTTTTGGGTTATAGTTGTCATTGTTGTTTGGCAGGCTGGTGCTGGATTCAAACCCGTCAACTCTGGTGTACGTGTCTAGTGCCCTGGCCGCTTGAGCTACAGGCTCAGAGCCAAGGGCGGGATTCTTGTCTCAGTGGACTCTTTCCCTGAGGGCTGTGATCAAAGGGAGGATGGACTAAGGGTGTGTATGAAAGCTGTGAAGGATGGGACCCGATTGCTACACTGATTTTATAATGGCCATGCTCCTCCAGGTGGTGTGCCCAGTGAGGCGAGGCAGTGTGACTACACTGGCCAGTACTACTGCAGCCACTGCCACTGGAACGACCTGGCTGTCATCCCTGCACGAGTTGTGCATAACTGGGACTTTGAGCCTCGCAAGGTGGGGGGTTGAAAGGCAGGTGGTTGGCCCTGGGGAGGGAGAGCAGATGGTGGCCTGGGTGGACATGCCCTGGGGGGTGACTGGCTGCACAGGCCTGTGGGGAGGACATGAGCTGCTAGCTGCAGTGCTGGAGGTGCTATTGCCCTGTCCTGTAGGTGTCACGCTGCAGCATGCGCTACCTGGCACTGATGGTGTCTCGACCAGTGCTCAAGCTGCGGGAGATCAACCCTCTGCTTTTCAACTATGTGGAGGAGCTAGTAGAGATCCGGGTGAGTCTGGGGTCAAAGGTCTGGGTGCTGTGGGGCTGTGGGGCTGTGGGGCTGTGGGAGGCTAGGAGCAGAGGAGGGAGGCACCTGGTTAGGCTCAACAGGGCTCCTCAGCTGTCTTTTGGACTGAAGATGTTGAAGCCGTGTCTGAGAGCAATCTGATACTAGGTAGAAAGATGGACTCAGCTTGTGTATCTAGTGCCTTTAGTAATTTTCTACTAGTGACATTAAAACAGTAAAAAGAGGGCAAGTACAGTGGTTCATGCCTGTAATCCTAGCACTTTGGAAGGCTTTGGTGGGAGGAGGATCCCTTGAGCTCACGAGTTTGAGATCAGACTGAACAAGAGTGAGATCCTATCACTACTAAAAATAGAAAAACTAGGTAGGCATTGTGGTGGGGGGCTGTAGTCCCAGCTACTGGGAAAGCTGAGGCAAGAAGATCTCTTGAGGGCTCTGTGCCTATAGCTCAACCAGCTAAGGCGCCAGCCACCTACACCTAAGGTGGCGGGTTCGACTCCCCAGCCCGGACCGCCAAATAACAATGACGGCTGCAACCAAAAAATAGCCGAGCGTTGTGGCGGGCGCCTGTGGTCCCAGCTACTTGGGAGGCGGAGGCAGGAGACTCGCTTGAGCCCAGG